TTCTATAGTTTTTCTATCACTTTGCTACACCTCTAGCCCTTTTTCTTAATTTTTGAAGGTAATACTAGAGACATCATGATCTGTATACTTAGATATTGGTATTGATTTAGATTGTTTTCTAAGCACAGAACAGGTGTCAAAATCAGTGAAATTTAACAACAGTACAGTTGTGTATCTAATATGCAGTCCATATGAGTTTTATTTTCTATTAGGAACGTGTTGTATTTAGTTGACTCCCCCTCTCTTTTTCTCTTCTTTCTGTGGTGCTGGGGATCAAACCCAGGGCCTAACTCAGTTCTATACAAATGCTTTGCATTGAGCTGTATCCCCAGCTTGTCTTTTAACCTGGGGCAATTCCCCAATTCTGGTTTTTCTGGACCTCAACTGTTTTTAAGACTATATATAGGCCAACTATTTGGTAGACTCCACCTCCTATGATTTAGATTTTTGTTATACTTGTTTGGTAGGAACACAACAGAAATGATTTGTTTTTATCAAACCATCTCAAGAGGCACACAGTGTTGATACACTGTAGGACTGAGGATGTTAACTTTGATCCTTTTGGTTGAAAACTGGGTGTGGAGGCAGAGTTGCTGGGTCACTGGCTGCTTTAATATTCAGTACAGAGGATAAACTATGAGGAAATGTGTTTTTTGTTTTTTGGTTTTTTTGAGACAGGATTTCTTTGTGTGTCAGTCCTGGAACTAGCTCTGTAGACCAGGCTGGCCTTGAACTCACTGAGATCTGACCAACTTCCTCTGCCTCCTATGTGCTGGGATTAAAGGGGAGTGCCACTACCTCCTGGCTGAGGAAGAATATTCCTATCCTCAGTCAATGAGGTGTGCTCAAAGATGTGGAGACTCGCTTGGGATGTGTGATCATCAAATGAGAAATTTCCAGTAAATTACTTACCTGACAAACAATACCTTTGTATAGCTATCTACATAGTTTAATTTTAGCCTCGTCTAGGCTTTTATTGAATTCAGAAATATCACCTGACTTTGCCTGTTTTCCTGCCTTATTTTTACGTGTAGCTAAGGCCTTTGAGTATTTCTGAATGCATGTTTTAATTCATTCTGGAAACATTAGTCTGGATATATTTGTGCTACTTATTTTCATTTCTCATAGCGTGGGAGCTTTGGGCCGGTTTCATAAGTTCATTTAACCAATATGCCTTCTTCTTTCATTAGGGCACTTGAGAAATGGTGTATGCATATCTTTTGATTTGGCCTTTTAATTTAATGACTTCTGGTTCAGCTTTCAGGACATTTGTTACTTAATGAAACTACGATAATTGTCTTAGTCACTGTTTATTGCTGTGAAGAGACACCCACGACCAAGGCAGCTCTTAGATAGGAAAGCATTTAGTTGGGGCCTTGCTTACTGTTTCAGAGGTTAGTTCATTAACATGGCAGGAAGATTGGCAGGCATGGTCCTGGAGAAGTAGCAGAGAGCTTTACATCTTAGTCTGCAGTAGGCAGTCAGAGACAGAGAGAGATTGGGTCTGACACTGGCTTTTGAAACCCCAAAGCTCACCCCCTAGTGACACACTTCTTCCAACAAGGCCACCTCTCCTAATCCTTCTAATTCTTTTAAACAGTTCCACTCTCTGATGACTAAGCATAAAAATATATGAGCCTACGGGCCCAGTCTTGCTCAAAACACTAATTCTTCTTATAAAAAAAAAAAAAAAAAAGTCTGCTACTTCCATACATTTATTTCTTCCTCCTTTATGATATGTATCATCCTATCATGATATGATTTGGACAGCAAACCAAATCAATAAAACTCAAGAGAATACCAGGATGCTCCGTGTGGTGAGAGTGGACCTCAAACTTCCTGGGCCTCCTTACAGGGGTCAAGTCATTCCTGAGGGATAAGCCCACATGGTTTTGAGGAGTGCTTCTGTGTATGAAGCACTAAGCAGTGATTCCTCAACATTGTTTGGACCTCTAGGGTATCTTCAATAAACAGGGGACAGTGGAAGTTCTTATGAGGTTTCCTATATCCTTCTGACCTAGGGGCGGGCCTGATCTTAAAGCCTCCAATGGCCTCGATGGCAGGAGTTTAACTTATGAATGAAACTTAAGAGAATTGAGATCCACAGGTCTTCTGTTGAGCATTTTGTGTGGTTTCTTTAAAAAACACAACCTTTTTTTGGCACACCCTTCCCAGTAAAACTTGGAGCTACAGGCGTTTGGTTTGGTTTTACTTGGGGCCAGACTTTGCTGAGTGTTAAAAGTAAAACTGTTTTGTCCCTCCCATTCCTGACAAAACCATGTTACTTTTCTCTCCAGCTGTGATCCTGAACCTCCTCACAGGGCCAAGAGAGGCAGTTGAGACACATTAATTAATTCTGAGGCCTTTGACCTTCATGCATCTTCACAGTTAATTTCTGTGTTTGGATTTTTTTCTCCCAGAATTTTTTATTTGGTCATAGCAGGTGAATCACTTGGCAGTTTCCTGTATGGTACAAGCAGGATGCCTGAAGGAGATTCCTATGCCTCTGGAATTGAGCTAACATGGTGCCTTCCATAGGCTCTGGGACACACAGAACCTGTCCACTGCCCCTTGCTCTTTGCCTTGGAACACATGAACTACACTTTTTTTGCACACGCTCTCACTTTAAATGTATCTTTATTAAATCTCTGAGAACTTCTTACTATGTATTTTGATCATATTCCTTCCCCACCATCTCCTTCCTTTAACTTCTCCCAGATCCACCTCCACCCATCTTCAATTTTGTATCTTTTTTTGTTTTAATAGCCCATTAACTCTACTGTGTGTGTTCATTACTCCTGTGTGGGGTCATCCAGTGGATCATCAACCTGGCAGGAGCCACACCCATAAAGGAAAGGGACTCTCTCTCTCCCAGAAGCCATCTACTACCTGTAGCTCCAAAGTTAGGGTGGGAACTCAGGAACCCTTCCACTCCGTGCTAGAATGATATCTGGCTTGTGCAGGCAGCCACAGCGGTTGTGAGTTCATGAGTGCAGCATCCGGTCATGTGAGGAACACACTGTTTTGCTGGTGTCCTCCCGGACCTTTCACACCGCCTGCTGGGCTGTGGTCCCTGAGTAAAAGGATAGATACCATTTACTTGCTGTTTGTGTGTCTGCTCTCTAGACTATAGTCTCCTGAAGGGAAGGGAGCCAGCTGTCTTTTCCATCACTGATTAAAAAACAAAACAACAGAGTGAGTTCCAGGACAGGCCCCAAAGCAGTACAGAGAAAGCCTGTCTCTGGCCCGTGGGGGGCGGGGGCGGGGGGAGCAAAAACAAACAAACCAAAAGAAACAAACAAAAAACCCTAGAGTACCGGAAAGGATGATTAGTGTATTTTGACACCCCCAAATCACAGTATTCATATTGATCCTTTTTATTTCTAAGGCAATTAACTTTTGCTGGACATCCTGTTAAGAGACAGGGTTTCTCTGTGTAGCTTCGGAGCCTATCCTGGCACTCACTCTGGAAACCAGGCTGGCCTCGAACTCACAGAGATTAAAGGTGTGCGCCACCAACGCCTGGCGAGCTAGGTACAATCTTGTGTGAAATGCACACTTATGCAAAGCCACACAGTTTGACCAGCTTTCTTAATATTGATGACCCTCGGTTAAATTATAGTTTGCTAATCTTGTGTTTGTTCCCCCTCTTCCCACCACTCCCACCCACCCACAGTGGTTCTAAACTGAAAAGCACCCATGTCCCATTGCTATCTTTGTTAATGCCTCATTGTAATTTTTGTTACTTCTTGCAGAACCAGTAATTTCCAGTGTTTGATTGTTAACCTGAAAGTTCCCTTTCATAAACTGTCTCAATGCTTGCTTGGATCACCTCATGCAGTCTTAGTGTCTATTGTGTGATCTTTACATAATAAGGATATTTAGTAGGATGGTATAGTATCCAAACAAGCAGATTAAAACTAGCCCACTGGAAGCATTTTCTCCGCTCCGTGTGGGTGCCCGTTTTCTGCTCTTCAGCTTGGCCTGCAATGATTTGCACCTGGAGTCGTTTTAAAAACCATTCGGCAAAGCTGACTAGTACAAAGTGGACCATAACCTTTCTCAGTTAATGAAAAGAAATGACATGAATCAGAGTTTCCATGTCCTGTTGGGATAAAAGTATGCTTACTATCTGAAGATAGTAAAGCAATGTTGTTTTCTCTAAGAGTGCCCAGCCACAGAAACAAATTTAAAATCAGAAGGATTTCTTTGTGGAAGAGTACAGTAAAACTCTTAGTTTTTTACTTTTCCCAACTAGACACTGTGTAGTGCAGTGTCTCTGTAGCTGTGCTTCCTGACACACACCACTTGGGATAACTCTTGAGATATTCAGCAATTAGATGGCATTGGGGTTGCACATTCTAATACAGCTTTAGTAAACACACACACACACACACACACACACACACACACACACACAATTGTGAAATTAACATGACAGGAGAATACGAGGGTTGCCCACCTCCACTCACACCCACATTTTTCTGGATATGTTAGAATGATGAGAGCCGGTTAGTTAGATTCTTTAACAGTTAATAAACTATGCATCCGGAGAGTGTGCTCACAAGAGAACATAAAAGCCAGCGGCACAGGCATTCATCTTTGACCTAAGCAGAATGGATGTGCCCAGTTACTTGTGCACTGGTCTATGGACAAGATTACTGTTTAAGTGGGCTGGCAGGATTACAAGCAGGAAAATAATTTCTTTTTTAAAAGCATTTATGTATTCTTTTAAATTTCATTTTACGTTCCAACCATAGTTCTCTCTCCCATCCCTCTCCTATCCCCCTTACTCCCCTCAGTTCCCCCCTCCAGTCCACTCTTCCTCACAGGTAAGGGCTCCCATGAGGAGTCAACAAAATCTGGCACAATAGGTTGGTGCAGAGCCAGGCCCCTCTCCCATACATTAAGGCTGAGCATGGCATCTCACCATAGGGAGTGGGCTCCAACACTGGCTCATGTACCAGGTTTGTATTATGATCCTATTGCCAGGGGCCCCTAAAAATATGGAATGATTCATGGATTTGCATGTCATCCTTGTGCAGGGGCCATGCTATTCTTCTCTGCATTGTTCCAATTTCAGTATATGTGCTGCCGAAGCTAGCATGAAAATAATTTCTTGATACAAAGATTTCAAGGTTGCTTGGGAAGTAAATGCAAGTTGTGTTACAAGCCCATTTCAGCCTTTGGAGCACCTGCAAATGGCTTGAAGTCTTGAGCAGATAATCAAGAGCCATGTGAACATTGTTCTTGAGCTCTGTGCTTATCAACTGAACCAGCAGAGAATTTTCTTTATAACATTCTTACCCAGAATTAGAATAAAGGCATCATTGTGTGAGGTCGGCACTGTGAAACTTCTTTACAGGTTTTTGGAACCAAATGCACCCCGAAGTGAGATGTCGCTTCATTTAGTTATTTATTTGTCTGTTTTTATTGATTTATTCTGCCCTTGTTGGGTGATTAATACTGTTTCTGGGAAATAGGAGACACAAGTGGCTCCTTGTTGGCAAAAGCCGAAAGACACAAGGAAGACAAGAGATGTGTCTGCAGTCACTGTGTCATGACTGAGTCAAGGCTGCCTTGTGGTGTGGCTGGATTTTCTTCCCTTCTCCATGGACATGTGTTTCCCATCAGACAGGGCTGCGTGACACCTGGGGTTGGCCAATTCACCAGTTAAACCATGCATAGCATATAAACAGAGTGTAGGAAAAGGCCTGCAGCTGCACTCAGACACTTCCTGCTGGAATATTTTTGCAGACTTGGTGCACTGGGTCTGTATGTAAGTCAGAAACGATTTACACCTGTATGTTTTGGCATGGCTTCGTGTAATTCCATATCATTACATGACCAGAAGGTCTGGTATTACATCTGTGATGTGGATCATGAAGTATAATTTTTCAAAGCTACCTTCTTTTGTGTTTTTTTTTTTGAATATTGTTCTACAACAATGTGGTGTGACTTTTGCATGTGTAAAATTACATCACACAAACAGGGTTTTCGAGAGACTTTGTCATGATATAGGACAGAGGAAACCAGCTATCCTCTTCAAGTTAACTTACCAGTAATTTCTGACTTCTGGGTTTGGGGGGGCATCCTTAGCCAATGCCTATGCAGCATTTTGTGAGCATGCACTTTCAGGGTTTTTGAGTTTTTGGGGGATCTGTGTGTGTGATTCGTGCTGAGTCATTTAACTTTCCAAGTTTCTTCAGCTCTAAAACCAGTGAATTGGTGGAAATCATCTGTTTTAAAGTGTGAGCTAAGGCTTATGCTAGAACCCTAAGGGGTGTATGCAGTGGCTAAAGTAGTAAATGGTCTCTAAACAATAAGTGTAAATTTTTAACATGATAGTTGGGAAATGCCTGTAGCATGAATGTGATCCCAAGAGAATTTAGAGAGCCCTATTAATAGCAGGCCAGGCCCCTGGCAAACTGCTGGTTAACCCACATAGGGCACCCTGGCTCCAAGCTAGATGAGGGGCTTCTGGGAAAGAACCTTCCACTAAAGCAAAGTTTGAGAAGCATGGGTCTAAAATGAACTAAGATCCCCATTACACAGAGTAAATAAAACATGCCCTCCACCAAGAATGGGTGTTGTGGGGCACCCTGACTCCCATCCTGAATTGCTAGCCTTAGTCTTAAATATCAACTGGTTATGATTGCTGGTTCTATAAGAATTCACTCAAAATGAGGTAGCCCTGGGGCTGCTGAGAGTCACAGGCCTAGAATCACAAGCCATTACATTTGGTAGAGACTGCCTGGATTAGCCCTGTGTCCCAGAAAACCCAAGCTAAGATGACTGGTCAAACCCCAGTTTCAATGTTTGTGGAGAGGAGAAAGAATGGGATTGTGGGTAAAGTTTTCAACCCAGATGGCCTATGACTCTACAACTCATTGTTTAGGTGGGTTGGTTACAAGTTGTTATTGGTAATGGTCAGGAAAAAAGCTGAACAAAGGAGATTAGATTCAGGGTTCTTGGTTTGAAAAGACAAAAGGGGGATATAGATACAATAGGGTATAGGGTAGACTATTGAATCTACCCTGAAAAGAAAAAGGTGGGATATAGAAATAGGATAAAAAGGTAGATTATTGAATCTACTTTTAAACCAAAAAAGCAATTGCTAGTTTTAAATAATTTTACATTGGCTTGGATATTTTTGTATATTGATATAAATATGCGGTGATTTTTGTTAGAACACACTGCACGTACATTGCTAGTCTTGTTCAAGGTATTGTACCTGTGCAACTCATTTAACAATGTAATGCAAATTTTTAGCCCTTGAAAGTTATTGTTACAACTATTAGGATAATAAGGAAATGCAGGTTAGCAATTAGTCACCTGTTACAATCGAACTTGTGGTCACATTAGGAATGTTTTCACTGTCAAACAGATATAGTTTAGATAGATAGATCACCTTCAAACACCTCAGAGGTCTACAGAATATGGCATATAATCTGGTTTAGTAACATAGGTTCTTTTTTTTCTAAGACAATGAAACATGTTTGCTCCTGGCAGCACCAATCTACTTCAGAGAAGATGCTGGGCATCAAAAAACAAAAAACAAAAACAAAAACAAACAAACAAAAACCCAACAACAAAACAAAAAAACAAAAAACTTCTCATAGAGTTTACTTTCTTTGGGACAAAAGTTATCCGCTGACCAAAGAAGTGCTCTTGCCTCCACGGCAGACAATATGCTGTCCATATTAGACAAGCAGGACACATTTGTGTGTGGAGACTTTGGACAGATAGACTTTGGCCAGAAGAGTGTACTGGGTCCCAGTATACTGCATGTGCTGGGAAACTTACTTCTGCCAGAACACCAATTGCTGCTGAGCCATCTCTCCAGCTCCTGTTACTTGAATTTTTAATTTAAAAATATTCACCTTTGTTTCACATAAGTAGTATGTGCATGTTGGACGAACTTAAATGATGCAGAGTGGGAAGAAGGTCTCTCATCTTTGACACCCAGACTCCTCCCCAGAGTTACCACTGTTACCAGTTTCAGGCCTGTTCTAGGACAACAACTGTTTGTACATAATCCACCCCTCCTTTCCATGAACAGTACCTTACTTAGATATATGGTCTGTCCCTTGTGGTTTTGCTCCTATGGCCCATGAGATTATGCTATCTGTTATTCTCTGGGGTTACTATGTAGAATGCTCCTTGGTGGATGGTTTATAATATGGAACCTGATAGACAGTAAGATCCTGTTTAGTCTTTTACTATTATAAGTAATAATTTTAAACACCCTCACATGCTGTGGTGAGTGTGCTATGTGCTTGAGTATGTTTTATTTTGAAAACAAAACCATAGTCGAAGGCCCAGTCTTTTCCAGACTCTGCAGTTAATAACCAGGGATGTTTAGTCTAAATGATCAAATCTAAATTTAGTGGAAGAAAACAATAGCTCTACCTTAACTTCACTTCCATGGACATTTCCTGTAAGATCGAACACCCATAAGAGCAGACATGCCTGTAAGAGCTAACACCTTTATGAGCAGATGTCTCCTATAACACCTGTATGAGCAGACAATCTGAAGATCAGCAAGAGTGTGATTTGGGAAGAGTCAGCCCCGAGTCTTAAATCTCCAGATTTTTAAAAAAAAATAGACATTAATAAAGTCTACAGAGAGCATTTGGTTGAGTTGAGTAAGGGAGCATACTGTTTGTTAGTGAACTCAGGGCAGCATTTTGTCCACTGTCAATGATGGTTTAGCTAAATTGTTGAAGTTAACACAGTTCCGCACAAATCTTGTTATGTTAGTAACTTGTCAGACTTAAGCCAGATTTTTTAAAAATTTGAGACTTTGGCCTGGGGTGGTGGCTCAGTAGTCAAGAGTGCATGTTGCTCTTCCAGAGGATCAGGATCAGATCTCAACACCCATATCAGAGGGTTCATCTGGCTACCCTGGGCACCCGAAGACACACAACCCCATAGATAACCATGTATGGATAATTTACATTTAGAAAAAAACAATAGTTATTATCAGCCTGTAATTTTTTTAACCTCCACCCCCAATCTAAAGGTTTCTGATATTTGGAACATGTGTGTTTTTCTTGTCTACAGTAGTTATGTCAGAAAAGCAAAAATGCCCCTTTTATGAGGGTTCAGAAACATCTGTCTCTGGGGATAATATTTAACACTTCCTTCCTTTGACTTGAAGTAGTTTTTATGAATTAAGCTCTTCCGGATGTCTGGAGTTTTGTCTTAGGTGAAGCTGAATCTGATAGAACACTTTCCCTGTGACACCATATGTGTAAAATCTTTCTTCCTACAGTGTAGCCTTCAGCAAGGCTGGCCGTACCAAGTTCTAGAGGCAAAACACACATTTCAGCTATTCTGCTATCAGTTAGGACTTTGGGTTTTTTGTTTTGTTTTGCTTTCTGTTCTCAAACTAAGAGTGTAAGAAATTCCATGTGATTCCATTAGTTCCCCACATCAAAGCTTAGGAACTGAGTGGCACGGTCTCCTGTTTGCTGTACATACTATATACAGAGAGACTAGGTTGCTTTGAAATCCCTCCAGGGAACTTTAGTAGGTGACCTGCTTCCCCGTGATATCCACAGCAAACTGAAGACTAAAATGTTCAACGTTTGGGGCCTGGGGTATAGCAGAACAGCACATTATAAGCAACATTCCATCCCCAGGACAAAAATCAATAAAAATCTTTAACTTTGGGGCTTTAATTAAAATATCTCAGTATTTGGAGGCAGAATCAGTTAGATCTTTGTGAGTTCCAGGGCAGTCTGGCCTACATAGCAAGTTCCAGCCGGGCCCTGTCTCAATTAAAAAAAAAAAAAATGTATAGGGTGTTTACTGGCATGTTTATCTGTTTACCATGTTTATGCCTGCTGCCTGCAGAGGTCAGAAGAGAGTGCTGCATCTCCTGGACCTGGAGGTGGTTCTGAGCTGCTATATGTGTACTGGGACTCAAACCTGGGTCCTTTAGAAAAGCAGCCAGGACTCTTAGCCACAGAGTCATCTTTCCAGCCCTCCTTTTTCTGATATTTTTAGACAGGATCTTATGTAGCCTAAACAAGCCCCAGACTTCCTGTATTGCCGAGGATTACCTTGCTTTTCTGTTTTCTGATTCTCCTGTTTCCACCATTGAGTGCTAGGATTCTAGGCAATGCACCATCACTCTAGGGTTACATGATGCTGGGGGATGGAACCCAGGCCTTCCTGCGTGGTAGCCAAATGCTCTATCCTCTGAGTGATGCTTCCAGTCCCAGGAGTTACTCCTTTTTAACGAAGTGTGCCTGGGCCCCTTTTATGATTGAGGTCTGCTTTTCACCTGTTGCTCTCGGTTCATTCATTCATCCAGAGTGCTTTTGTGTCCCTACTGGGTACTGAGGGACAACAAGAGTTGTATACTTTCTATGATTCTGCTACAGATATTCAGGGTGTCTGAAAAAAATTCACATACTCCCGGGTGTCCTGGAGAAAAGTCTTTCTTAAGTTATGACAACCTTTGTGGATCTTGTGTTTACCATTATGTTTGTGTTACATTAAATATATATCCAAGAATGGGGCTTGTGAGAAATGGCTCAATGGGTAAAGGCATTTGCTATAAGCCTAAGCACCTGAGTGCAACTCTGGGACCCTGGTGATACAAGTCGAGAAAAACTATGACCTACATGTGTATGCACCCATGTGCACACCCCCCCATGAGTAAGTGTAATAAAATGTATTTAGGCATAGGAAACATGAAATAAAATTTTGAAAAGCACAGACACCCAAGACTAGATGAAATAGGTGTGGGGCTGTTACTTGTACCTTCATGAATAGAATTAAGGCCATAATTTTAAAATAGAAATGATTAAGAGTAAAGTACCTAAAAGGAATTCAGAATCTGTACTCCAAAGCACAAAGCATTCTGGGGGTCCCTTTATGATAAGGTGTCATAGGCCCTGGTCATTGATCTATGTGTTCTTCCCTCCTGCAGTGATGAATCACCAGCACCAGCAACAAGTCGTGCCCAGTAACCTGAGTCCACAGAGCCACCCAACTCCGAACCCACCCACAGGGCTCATGAGTGTGCCCAATGCACTGACCACTCAGCAGCAGCAGCAGCAGAAACTGCGACTTCAGAGGATCCAGATGGAGAGAGAAAGGATCAGGATGCGTCAAGAGGAGCTCATGAGGCAGGTATGTTCTTCCATAGTGCTTTCGAGATGAGGTCAAAGCCTCATGTTCACAACTCTCTCTTCCTGAGCTATCTTCGGGGCTAGACTTAGGAGTTCAAGGACATGCTCTTTGGCATGGCTGCCTTGGCTTCCACTGATAGAGTTTAAAAGGAGAGAAAGAGGCCTGGAGAGATGGCTGAGAGGTTAAGAGCACTCACTGCTCTTCCAGAGGTCCTGAGTTCAATTCCCAGCAACCACATGGTGGCTCACAACCATCCATTATGAGATCTGGTACCTTCTTCTGGTGTGCAGATATACATGGAAGAAGAATGTTGTATACATAATAAATAAAATCTTAAAAAAGAGAGAGAGAGAAGAAATTAAGAAAGAACATGTTCCAATTAGCTGTTACTTTGTAACAAATTATCCCCCAAACTCAGGGACTTGAAATGATCCTTTAATTTAATTGCAGTTTTGTAGGTCAAGAATTTAGAAAGGACTGAGGTAGGCCATTGTTGTGTTGTCATTGAGGTTGCTTAGTGGTAGTCAACTGGTAGGCAGTTTGCAAGGTCCCAGAGGACATGAGGATTGCTGGCAGGTTGGGCTTAGTTGGGATTATACGAAACATGAGCAATCTTAAGTGAAGGACAAGCCGACAGTGTCTTAGGGCCTGGTTCTAGAAATGGAGTCAACTTTAGCCCCCCTTCCCTCATTAGAGGAGATAGCAGAGAGGCATTCCATAAAACATGCCCTCTGTAGCCAGCTATCTTGTTCTACTCCAGAGCATGAAAAAGGATGAAGTCAGAGCTGAATGGAAAGAAAAGTGGTTTGGATATGGATTTAATGTAATATTCTACAAAACTGCATGGGTATCAGTCAGACTTTCATTTTAAGAATATGTCTTATTATAGCAGGGCATAGAGGCACATATCTTTAGTCCCTGAAATTGAAGAAGAGGTAGGTGGATCCACGTGAATTAAAGGCCAGCCTGGACTACAGAGTGAGTTCTGGGACAAATAGAGCTATATAGTGAGACCCTGTTTAAAAAAAAAAAAAAATGAATCCCAGGCTGGTGTCAAACTTGAGATCCTTCTGTCTCAGCTCCTAAATCCTGGGATAAGGATGTGCCACTATGTCTGGCTCAGTCCAGTTATGCGTGCCATACTACGTACATTCATGTGGTCAACAGGACACTGCTATGTGTCTTCTGAGGCTCAGCACTGTTCTTCATAAACAAAAGAAATTAGCCAGGCATGGTGATGCATGCCTTCAATCCAGAGTTCAGAAGGATGACTTCGAATGGTTGAAAGTTTGAGGTCAGAGCTGAGGGAGTGGGTGTGTCTCAGTGGTAGAGTACTTACCTACAATGTTCCAAGTTCTGGGCTCAGTCACCAGCACAGAGAAAGACAGGGAAGGAAAGAAGCAGGGGAAGGAGCAGAGTGTGGGGGAGAAAGGTGCCTGGCTAAGAAATAGTTTTAACTGTTCAAAGAGTGTCCTTGGAAAGGAATATGGGGGTGTTATAGGGTAAATACTTTCCCCAGTTACAGCTATTATTTTAAAATCTATACATCATCTTCTATCAATGATAATGTCTTGATCATCAAATACATCTCAGATTTAGTGTGTGAAAAATAAAAGAAGTGAATATTAAGTTAAGGAAACGGCTGATAGGAAACCACAATTGTGGCTTTTACTCTTAGAATCTAAATTTGTGATTGGCTGCATCATGGTGATGCTTCCTGGCAGGAAGTAATCATATTGTTGTTTTCCAGTCTTGGATATTTCTATTTAGTTTGTTTGGTTGTTTTTTGTTTTTTTCAAGGCAGGATTTCTGTGTATCTCTGGATGTCCTAGAACTCACTCTGTAGACAAGGTTGGCCTCAAATTTACAGAGATCTGCCTGTCTCTGCCTCCCAAGTGCTGAGATTAAAGGCAAACACCACTACTACTGCCTGGGATATTTCTCTTTAAAACTGATTAATTTCTTATGTGGAAATATAATGTGAATTATATAGTATTATAGTCTCATTTATAAATTCTCCTCAGTTTTGTATTTAAATGATCTCAAATGATGGTGATATGTATGTGTATATGTATATGTATATCATAGCACTCTTCTGCTAGGAATGATTTGTTTCTGTTTCTTCCTCTCATATAATTCTTTCTTTTGTCCAGTCTCCTTCTTTCCCACAGAAAGAATTTCTGGAAAGGGGTGGGGAAAAGTGCCCGGGATTGTTTCCTTTATTCTAGCTGTAGGTTCCGTGGAGCCACAGATAGTTTTGGTGGCTCATATTTCAGAAATGCCAGCATAGTTCCTTCAGTGCTTATCCCTGGCAGCTGGGGAACTTGGTGCATTTTAGGCCAGCACAGTGTGGAGTCCTCCGCAGGGTCCAGCAAGGCGAAAAGCCTGGCAACTTTTGTTCAGCTTTGACTGCGAGTGTGTGTGTGTGTGTGTGTGTGTGTGTGTGTGTGCCTAGTTAGGAAATAGGATGGATGGTTTTGATGTTTTGTTAATTTTGTTACTGGAGTATACTGGAAAAAATGTCTGAATAGATTTAGTAATCATGGAAGGTTGGTCTCCCCCCTCTGCCCGAATCCAGAAGCATCATGGTCCCTAGTCACTGGTAATAAGTCCATATGATAATGGTGTGGGAGTATTTTCTTTGGGCATTTCCAGCATATCTTCAATATCATCTTGATGGGCTTTATATTTTTAAAATAATGTATCTTATCTTACATGCATGCATGTGCACCATAGGCATACCTGGTTCCCTGAGAAGTCAGTAGAGGTCATTAATCGCCTGCAACAGGAGCTAAGGATGGTTGTGAACCACCAGGTGGGGGCTGGGACCTGAACTTGCACCTTCTGGAAGAACAGCAACAGCTTTTACTTGCTAAGTTATTACTCCAGCCCCTTGGCAGGCTTTTTGTAGTTACTGTATATATGCTCACATGTTGCGGTCAAGTGCAGTCTTCAGGAATCTGTTCTCTCCTTCCACTGTGGGATCTGGGGCTTGACCACATGAGCCCTTGCCTATTGAGCTACACTGCCCACCCTGATAGGCTTTTCAACTTCTTCTGGTGATTTTCCACTTTGTTATTTGTGCCTTAGCCAGGGTAGAGGCAGGAAAAGACTTGAGGTAAATGAGGCCTTTGGGTCACCCGTTAGGCTGCTTTCCAGCACCAAATAGGAATTTGTAGTGTGGAGGACTGGTTTTTCCTGATGAGATTTGTGGGTTTTCTATTAATTCCAGTGGTTTGTTCTGTCTCAGTCCCCAGCAGCTGCCTGGACATCCCTTGCTCACTGGGAGGTCTGTAACCAACCTGGCTCTCCTGCCTGCAGGAGATCTCTGTGTCTTATTGAGTCTTGTGCATTTCTCTCCCTCCTCCTGTTATTCTTTAGTACTCTACACCTGCAGTTTGATGTTGCCCTGTGGGGAAACTACTCCTCAGCCTGTGCCTCATGACCATCTGGCCTGTGCTCTCTGACAACTGTCGCTGTGTTGTCCTGTGTTAGCTCAATGGTGCTAAAGTCGATCAGGGCATTAACAAAATAGATTTGGAGACAGTTTGACTGCAATTCTAAAGTGAGTTCCCATTGGTTTAGGATGGAAACTATTTCCCCCTTTCTTTCTTTATCTCCTCATTGATTCCCTTAGCCAATATTCCTGGAATTGGAAGTAATAGAGAAACAACTGGGACATAGCTGCCTTTATACAGCTTCTGTGGTAGCAGAGGAGACAGAATAATTAGTTCTAATCTAAGTTGTAGATCAAGGGGTAAATTAACACCATATCCTCCTTGGGGTCCTAGTGGTTACCTCTTGGACTTTTACTATTGTCACTGAGCCCTGACAGATTCACTTTCTGTGAAAACATTGCAAGATATTCCTTTATCTCTTTCCATAGACCACCCTGGCCAACAAACTGTTCAACAACAGTTTGAATCCGGTTCAAAATGGCAGTGTCTCCACAGATTAAGGCATCTTAACTAGGCTAGACCTGATGGTAGCAGCCTTCTAATCCTAACTACTTAGGAGGCTAAGGCAGGGGAATTGAGAGTTTAGGCGAGGGTGGGCTACCAACTGAGTTCAAAGCCAGCCTGGGTTAATTAGTGAGAAACTGTCTCAAAATAAGAAAATAAGAAAGAAGGGCCTGTGAAATGACTCAGAGAGTGAAGGCACTTGCCACCAAGCCTTCCCAGTTGACTTTGATTCCCAGAAATCATAAGGCAGAAAGAGAGAACCATCTACCACAAGTTCTCTGACTTCCATGCATGTGCTGTGTGGTATGAATACATTCCTAGGTGGGATGCACGTGCACCACACACATATACACTCATACACATATCCATACATGATAAACATTCTTTAAAATGATGCAGATATAGCATAGTGGTAGGTAATTTGCCTGGCATGAATGACCTCAGGTTTATCACCTCCACCCTCAAAATAGGAAAGTTTCCTTAAATGTGGTCCCTAAATTTAGCATTGTCTGCTGAAGCAACAGAATTGAACTTGTCAGGGCCTACACTGTTGAGAGATTGTTACTATTTCAAGCAAATTCCATACTGTTTTACCTCTTGTTCTCTAGTTAATTGGAACTTGGGGGTAGTGTAGGAGAATACAGCTTGTATACAAAAATGCTGACTAAGCTTTGCCTTTGGTTTCCAGGGCAACAGGGACACAGATGGAAGGAGGCAGGCTCAGAATTCTTTTAGCAGGTCTTACAGATTTCTGTCAAGCTTGACATCCACTCTCAGGGGGGCAGGTCAGCTGACCAGTTTCATAGCCTTTTCAGATCCATGGTTCCACGCAGAGGGGACACAGAACTGAGAGCCTTGCTGGTCTCAGGGAAGGGTTAGAGGGATGTTTTCTGTCTTGAGTTTTAAGAACTTTTTAGAAAAGTTAAATACATACCCAGCCAAACATGTAGGGTGGGTGACACAGTGTCTGTTTCACAGCCTCTGGATCATAGGTTCTAACTTTTTGGAACACACATCATAGAGTTGACTAAGGCATTT